ACAAAAACATAATGCAATATTTTGGAGTTAGCCATTGATATCGAATATAAAAAATATATAATTTAACTATATAATAAATAACAAAAAAACTGAGATATGTCTCGTTTCTGTCGGGTCTGGGTTTTTTTCTATGGGGCGTTCTTTGACGTTTGTTTTCGATAATTGTGACAGTTTGCATCGGAAACTTTACGAGAGCTCTGAGGCTGGCGAAAACTTTTCGAATATTGATGATTAGAAGAGATAAATAAATCCTTTTAATTATAAGGTAGGTAACAAAAATTAATTACAATTATCTATAAGACGTATTTTCATATAATTACTTCAATATTTGCACTTAATCGTAAAGCTGAATTTTTGTGAAAGGTGTGTTTTTATAAGTTTTCTATCACAAATATATATATATATATATATGCTGCTTTGTGAAACGAGACATATCTCAGTTTTTTTGTTATTTATTATATAGTTAAATTATATATTTTTTATATTCGATATCAATGGCTAACACCAAAATATTGCATTATGTTTTTGTTTAGGCGTTACTCTAAAAAAATACAAAAGCCTATTTATCTACAAAATTCGTAAATGCATGTAACTAAATGACGATACAGTAGTTATGGGCTGTATCTAAGTGACCTTCATCCGAACGTTAAATGTGAATAGCGTTTATTGGTTTCGGTGCGAGAAGTTATCGAATCCGAGTCGAATTCGCTTTCCGAGACGATTGTGAATAGCCCGGCAGGTGTGTTTCCCGATTTAATTAAGTATAGTAAAATAATACCTTTATTTAAACCTAGTAGTACATTGGACCCTGCTAATTTTAGACCTATTTCTGTAAAATTTTTGAAAAAATAATTTTGGATCAATTGTTAATTTTTTTTAATATAAATAAATTAGTTCATAAAAACCAATTTGGTTTTACAAGGGGTCGCTCGACGTATGACGCCGGTGTTGGGCTTATGAAATATATTTTAATGCCTTGGAGGAATTCACAAGATGCCTTAGGTATTTTCTGTGATCTTTCCAAGGCTTTCGATCGTGTTTATCATGAAACATTAATCAGGGAACTACAACATTACGGTGTAAAAAATTTGTCACTTAGACTTATTACTTCATATTAAAGTAACAGAACTCAAAAAGTCGTGATCAATGGTAAAGGTTCCTCCAGCTCGTTAGTATCAATGGGCGTTCCTCAAGGCTCAATTCTTGGCCAATTCCTGTTCTTAATCTATAATAATGACTTACCTTATCTTGTAGGGGACAATCACGATTTAGTATTATTTCAGTCAATTAATTATGATGATGTAAATAATGCTCTATCGAAATGAGTACATTGGCTTAACGCCAACAATTTGCTCTTAAACGGCAATAAGACAAAATGTATTTACAAAACCTAATGTAAAACATTCGAATACCAATGTTCTCTTAAATGGGAAGCAGTTGAGTCTTGTGGATACCACTGTTTTTCTTGGTATTAGTATTGACGCGAAACTTCAGATTTAGTTCTGCAGCATATACAGCAGATTTAGTTCTGCAGCATATGCTGTAAGAAAGATTAGAAGTCTCACAGATGTTGAGATAGCTAGATTAGTGTATTTTAGTTACTTTCATTCCTTGAATTTTGCTATGGGATAATGCGACTGATATTGAAGCTATATTTGTTTTGTAAAAGAGAGCCGTACGGGGGATTATAATCTAAATTATAGAGTCCCTCAGAGAAAAATTTAAAGAAATAAACATATTAACTTTGGCATAGCAATATATTTATGAAAATGTAATGTACATAAAAACATAAATAGCTTTAATAAGAATAAGGATGTCCACATCTGAAACACTAGGAACAAACATAAGCTTGTAATGTAGTAGTAGTAGTAAAAAGGTAGTTCCTAGATTCCACAGAATCAGTAATTCATTTAGGTATGGCAATGTATACGTTTTGCAACAAAATCCCAGAATATGTTCAAAGTTTGTCAATAAACAAGTTTAAAAGTTTTATTAAAGAAAAACTGTACAAAAAGGGTTATTATAATATCAAGGAATACATGATTGAAAATAACCCCTGGAAATAAGGTGAACGCCGCAATGCTGGTTCTATGAAAATTTATTTAAAAATTGTATAAACAAAATTTTGTTAAGTGAAATATGTTTAAAAAAGTCCCGCTGGGTTTTTTGCTGGTTTTTCCAAGAACAGAGGTATTTTCCGAACCAGTTGTAAATAAAAAAATGACTTTCAATAAGTATTATGTAATAATCAATATTGAATAAAAAAAATCAAAATAAAAAAATCTAATTGTTACACTGGTGGGTTGAACAAAGGTAATTATAACATTTTTTTTAAGTTGGATGTGGCGGTGCTGTCGTCGCGTCACAAGCGAAAAAGTTCCGAAGTTCAACTGCTGCATATATAGAATAGCTCCAAACTACCACTCACCGCGCCCCCTTTTCCCTAAAGAGGGTCGCTTTCGATTCGGCAGAAAGGCCTCATAAGCCAATGCCAGTCTCACAGATAGTGTTTAGTGGGTAGGCACTTAGGTTTGGTTAGGTCAGTCGCAGTGAACCCCACATAACCATGAACAAAGGTAATTATAACATTTTTTTTAAGTTGGATGTGGCGGCGCTGTCGTCGCGTCACAAGCGTTGAAGCCTAAATCGCAAACAAAGTTCCGAAGTTCAACTGCTGCATATATAGAATAGCTCCAAACTACCACTCACCGCGCCCCCTTTGCCCTAAAGAGGGTCGCTTTCGATTCGGCAGAAAGGCCTCATAAGCCAATGCCAGTCTCACAGGTGGTGTTTAGTGGGTAGGCACTTAAGTTTGGTTAGGTGAGTCACAGTGAACCCCACATAACCACGACAGCCGGATGTCGTGGTATGATGCTTAGAGCATTCATCACCTCCCTTCCTCGCTTTCCGGAGGATAGCCGTTTCAATTGCTTCTGAGCCCAAAAAACCACCACTCGAAGCGTTAGCCGCTCCCCGGGCAGAACACCTTGCCCGGCGGGAAATCTGCCCTTTTCCTTCCACCGGCCACATGGACACACAAAGAATTTATATCTGGACTGCTTTCTGATAGGTACAACAGCAACTTATTTTATCAAAAATTTTGAGAACTTTATGGATTTCGAACAAGATACGGTAAGTTATTATGGTATAGAAATAACAATAAAGGCGTAATTTAAAAAATAAAATTAAAATTTAAAACATTGGCGGCGGACAGTCCTGGGACATTTAAGGTTTTGTATGGAGCAAAAAAAAGTTACCCAGCTATAGCATGTAGCAAACTAACTTACAGTTTACCTGAGGCAAGATATAAAATTTTGTCATAATCATACCTATTCCGTCCGAAATCGGAGGTGACTTTTCTGCCTAGGTGTCTGTCTGGGTACTGGTACCACCCCCTTACTTATTTCCGCCACAAAATAGCAGAGCCTGCACTGTTGTTCCGGTCTGGAGAGTATAGGGAGCCAATATGATTACAGGCCGTGAGGCATTTCGGAGTAATAGTGTTCTGTGGGCATTTCATCTTGGTCCTCAAAGGTGACAACGCGTTTGTTGCCTTCTTTGTTTGAAGTCGGCTCCAGATGTCAACTGACTTCAGTATTGTTTTGACTGACTGCAGTAGTTACCTAAGTACTTACAATTAGGTGGATTGTAACTTTGTTTCACTTCGTTTTTATAAAAACTAACTACAAATTGAGATCAATTTTATCATTTTTTATTACCACGTCCACGGCGGTGAAGGAAAACATCGCGAGGAAACCTGTATGTCTGAGAAATAAGAAATAAAATTTTTTCGAAGAAGTGAAGTTCGACAACGCGCAATTGGGCAATGCGGCGGACAGTTGCTTAGGGCAAAGCAAACCCTCTCAGAAATGAGGGGAGACCTGTGCCCAGCAGTGGAACGTGTATAGGCTGTATATTATCCCATATCATCTCCTGGGTGCCTGCTGGGGAAACTGAAACAGGAGATGGGCAGCAGCATCTTCCTGATAACAGATTAATAAAAAAACTGCGGTTGCCAACTCTCCATTTCGACTCTGGTCAGCCAACCAAATTAAAAGAAAACACATGTATTAAAAAACAAATTGGTATTAAAGTGGCGTAAGTTGTGGCTGCTTAAGTTGTAGTTGTTTTACAAAAGTGAATAAAATGCGATTTGTGAACATGCTTGGATGGTTGTTCACTAGTTATGCTGTTCTGCGTAACCTCATTTGTCAGTAAAATCCTAAAAAATACCTGTCAATTGTAGCCATAGTGGCTCAATCAAGTGATTGTAATAATAGTAATAAACACAATTCTGTTGATAACAGAGGGCCAGTGTTTTATGATTTCTATGATTACCCGTGAAACCAAGACATCTTAGTGAGCAATGTTTTGCTTCTCTATTGTGAATACTCACAACAAAATCAAATTAGTCAGTATATAAACAAATACTATGTTGTGGCATAAGAAGCGATAGAAAGTAGCAAAGCAGATGGGCAGAAGCATCTTAATAACAAAAATATGTGGTTGCTGGCAAAGCTAGGCAACTATGGCAAATCTCCCTCTTCTGAGGGACAATCTATGGGGAAGGCCTATGTTCAGCAGTAGACTTTTGCTAGTTGTAATGATGATGGTAATGATATATAAACTGAATTCTTAATGGGCTGATCATTCAGCTTAAAAAACTGTCAACAAATGAGGAAGTTTATAGTTTTAGCCTTATAAAAGTGACTGCAATGTGGTGTAAACCCTCACATTTAGTGGGGGATTGCATTGACGAGAATGACAATTTAATGAGGCACGTAAAGGCAATATACATATAGAATAGTCTTAAAGATTGTCGATGGACTTTTTATGTGCTGTAAAGATGGCAATGAATGTGATAAGTAAACAACAGTAATAGTAGTAAAAAAACACTTATATTTCACAAAATAAACATTTGACTGTAAAATTTGCCAGAAAGGAAATGTTTATATTATTAAATGGTACATAAATTAAATTCTTATGTATTTCACCTATGCTTAATCTTTATGAGGATGTTCAGCCTTGTGTATGGAAAAATCTAACCTTACGTATATAATAACACAAAGGAATAGCATATAAAGGAACCCTACAACTAATAAAGGTTCTTGTAACATAAGAAGACGAGGGAATGTGTAGCGAAGTTGGAAATCTTGAATGTGATTCTCTACAACATTTCTCTTCGTGAATGATACTACAGGGCGACCTTTTGTGTCTAGGTAAGTGTAGTGCAAATTATCAGGCAACCTCGAAACGGGGTAAGGGATGTTGAGTTTAATGTTTGTTGAGCCCTCAGGTAAAATTATTTTTGTAATTAACTCATCAACTTGCATGTCATCAAAAATGTGATCTATAACTCTCATTTTCAGCAGATATTCATTGCCAGAATGGTATAAATATTCATAGCTCGGCACATTGTAGCCAAGAGTATAATGAGTTCTCCAACCTCCAAATAGTGGGTATCTTGGCCTGAGATCCAATTCTACAGTATCCTTTTTAACTTTCATGTTTGAAGTTGAAATGTTTCCATTCGTGTCCCTGTAATATACATCTGCTGCTGATGCTGGAAGTAGGGTCTTATAAGAGCGAACACTAGCCGGGCCACTGTGATGATCTTGTTGGTAATCATACCGCGAGAAGGGTCCCTTAAGTTTTGCACCAGTATGCTCAATTTCAATAGTCTCTTCAACTGCAATGTTTCCCCAGTGTGAAACTTCAATTAGTCTTTCAATACGGGTTACAGTTAAAAAGGGTGAATTATTTTTATAATGAATACTAAGTTCTTTTTCTGTAAATGGCCCTATATTAGAATAAGGTCCATATGAAATAGTACCATCTTGTTGAGAGAATGGTTTTACCTTTGTGAAAGACTCCACACTTTTCGTGTTAACGATCACAGTTGTCTTCTGTGATGCAACATAATATGGAGAGAAGAAATAAAGGTTGCCATTAAATTTTACAAGTTGGTCTTCTTGCTGAGTGATAGCAGTTGGATACGGTAACAGCGCTTTAGTCAAAACTGCTTCAGCCATTACCACAACGGTAGAAGCAGCATTAACAGCTTCTTTCAATTCAACTCGCCAAAATTTTACGTCATCGTAACCTTTAACAGAAGTTTCGACTAAGCGCAAATCTTTATTGTTGTTGTCTTTAAAACCCACAAAAGCCAAATTGTCCTTTGTTACGCTTTCTGCAGCATACAAGAAATATTTTACCGGCGCTCGTCCTGTGTTCTCCAAGGTTATTTTCGATGTAATTTTCACTAATTGTGATGATATATCAATGTTACGATCGACATTTTTTAGTTTTAGGTCACTGGATATTATATCAACGTTAACGCCATTACATTTTATTATGATATAGAGGAAGAATATAAAACTATATTGTATTTTAGCCATTGCCGGTATCATTTTTCTTTTGACATTTGACAACGCACTTCAACAAGAAATTGGACGGAAGTACACGCCAGCATAGGAACGGAAATACGTTTCAACGATGTGTCGCCACTTGAAAAATTCTCTAGTCTATGTACTATATACATAAAGTAAAAAATTAATAATCCAAATGGTAAAAGTTAACCGAAATAAAAATACAAACGTAAAATAGCAGCTTAATGTTGCTGTATTTCGTATGGTTAGTGCAAAGAACCGGAGACCCAATTTACTGGAAATGAGGCAATCCATTTTAGTCCTACTGCATTATGATCCTAAGCTGAGGATAGACCAAAGAGTATAGTAACTGTCCTATACAGGAAAGAGAGTCCACGTGCGAAATCATGGTAATTCATTACTATGTATTAGCGATGAGCGTTGAATCAACCGTTGATCTCCTGTCAACGTATTAACGTTAACCGTTTATGAATTAACTAGTTGAATTCGTCAATGACGATTATCAATTTAACTCTTACGTCTCGTTAATGCAACGAACTGAGTAAATTAAAAACACATTGAAAATAACATCATAGATTGCGAGCGATGGTCATGACGTACAATTTGAACTATAAGGAACCTACAAAAGAGTTTATTTTCGAAATATTTATTTTAAGAATAGTACTTATGACGATATTGGTGGAATGGAGCGCCCCGCTTGTGCCGTCCGAGAGAAATAAGTTAATTCTAGTTTGTTTGTTTACGTTTACGAACGATATGAAGTTTGCATTCTTTAATTTTTGATTGACAGTTTGTGACAAGTTGCGCGTAAATGTTTAGAGTTTAGACTTTTTAGTTAATGTTTATAATAACACTGTAAATTTGTATGTGTTAATATAAATTTGTATAATTGAATAAAATAGGACTACTCAAGGTACGAGATTGAAAAAGTCGGGACGTACTGGCGTAACAGTGAACTGTGACTGCATTTCGAAAAAATAAACTAAAGCCAAAAAATATTTAAAAAAAGCATAACAATAAAAAACATTGTAAATAATTTATTTGCGCACATAGAATCAGATTATCTTTTAAATACGCCTGAGTAGAATATGGTTTATAGCTAATTGTATTCAATCAGTCCTAAGCCTAAAGAAAAAGTATAAAGGGAAAGTCATCTAAGTAGAACCATTAATCAAAAGTTTTCCAATACATACATTGAATGAAATTGTTTTTGAAATTGAACGTCGTAGCGTTGAATTAAAACCGTCCAACGAATTAACGGTTTACGTTGCAAGTTGACATTAGTAGTACGTTAACTCGTTGACGAATTCAACTGGTTGAATAACTAGTTGACAAACGTAAATCAACGTTAACGTTTCTCTAACGGAAAAACAGTCAACGACCCATCGCTGCTATGTATGTATGTACTAGGATTAATTATCAACAACTATGGAGTGTAGAGTAGAAGGAGAACCATCTTATAAAGGGCAAGAGTTGAAAAAGTGCTCACTATACGAGGGATGATCAAAAAGTAATGATAATGAAAATAAAACACGGTAATTAAAGTTAAAATAATAATTTATTTTTCTACATAGTCTCCTAACAAATCAATACATTTAGTCCATCTTTTTTCTAAACCCAGGATTCCCTTTAAAAAAAATTATTTGTCTTGACCCTCCCAAAACGCTTCAACAGCGGCCATCACTTCGCTATCGTCTTCGAATTTCTTGCCTCGGAGGCGATCCTTGAGCCGAGGAAAGAGGTAGAAATCACTAGGAGCTAGATCTGGCGAATGGCGAGAGTGTTCGAGCAGTTCGAAACCCGTTTCTTGAATGGCAGCCATCGCAACTGCGGCTTTGTGAGCCGGTGCGTTGTCTTTGTGAAACAGCACTCCAGCTCGCAGTTTGACGCGTTTTTTTTCCTTAATGGCCTCCCGTAATCTTCTTATTTGGTCTGCGTAGTAAGATCCCGTAATAGTGGCTCCCTTTTCCAAATATTTCACCATAATTATGCCTTGAGCGTCCCGAAAAACAGATGCTATAACCTTTCCCGCCGAACTTGAAACTTTGAATTTCTTTGGCGTCGGTGAGGAGGCTCGCTTCCAAGTCATCGATTGTTGTTTCGTTTCCGGATCAAAATGGTGGATCCAGGTCTCGTCCATAGTCACAAAACGGAACAAAAAATTTTCTTGATCTGCTTGGAACTTTTCGAGATTGACCCTCGAAATGTCAACTCGATTTTTCTTTTGCTCGTCGGTTATCATTCTGGGTACCCAACGCGCAGAGACCTTTTTCATATGCAACTCGTTCGCAAGGATTCTTTGAACGCTGCCATATGAGATCCCTGTGACCTCAGCTACATGCCTGATGGTCGCTCTTCGATCTGCCAATACAACATCTTCGACTTTTTTCACGTTGTCTTCAGTGAGGGACGTGGATGGGCGTCCTTCGCGATGTTCATCTTCAGTGGATGTTCTGCCCAGTTTAAACTCCATGGCCAGCGTGCAACTGTAGAATATGGAGGAGCAGAGTCCCCCAATGTTTCCACTAAGTCATTGTGTATGTCTTTTGAAGACATTTTTTTCAAACAGAGGTACTTGATGACAGCTCTAATTTCGTTTTTCTCCATGTTGATATTATCTCTTTGACAGTTCGTATTCAAATGAATGTATCTCACGGAAATCGTGATCTATTTATATGATTTTTTAGGCTGACGTAGTGAGTATATAAGCAAGCAAAAAATATTTTTTTTGGATTTTTATGTGGACCTGAAGTAACCGATTGTCATTACTTTTGGGTCACCCCTCGTATACTGAAAATAGAGGTTCCAAAACCTACCACAATAGCGCTGGCGTCTGAAAAACTACGATATGAAGATAGCTGTTGTGAACGGAGTGAAGTTAGCTGAATTCAAATATTTAAAAAATTTCATGACTAGTTAGCAAAATGGCAGTATACAAAATCTCAACTATTTACGTAGTACAAAACCAAGCGGATTGGTCGGTCCTTGTTTACTTCTCCATCTTACTCTAATTAATTTTGGCGCTTTTTTTAAATTTATCCTATGCTACTGCAGCGCCACCCTTATTGGACGCGTTTTTCGGGACACTTTTCATATAAGGAGATGGTCCTCCTTGTACTCTATACGTACCCTGTAAGTTCATATTAGCCCTTTGAATGAGTTTTTCCAAAAATACTCATTCAAAGGGCTTATATGAACTTACAGGGTTGTATTGGTGATTTTAATGATAATAATTCTGTAAACATATAATCGCTACGGTCGTGAATCATATTTTGTTAAATATACAAGCTAACCCTGACCTGCAAATTCCAAAAAACGCAAGAAAATTTGAATGTCGCGGGCCACCCTGGAGCTTCCACCTTAAAGAGAATACATAGTCACTGTAAACGTAGTAATTGGTAATGGCATACGTATATACATGAAGTTATAGATAAAGATGGAGACCCCACTCCGAATACCTACTTGAAGCTTAACCAATGTATTACTATCTCGCTCTCTGTGGGCAGACCCTCTCTTTCTAAGTGGGTAACCTTTATTTTATTTTTCCCAGGATATCGCTATAAATAGTTGCACTACATTAAGGGGCTACTCCATGCGAATGACCTTGAGCCTTTGGTGTGCCGCGCCGACTCGCTACAATATATCGTTTAAGAAATGTGTAAGACGCCACCTACTGTACGAACGTAGCATTTTTTCAACATCAATAAACTATTTTATGGAAATACACACCGCGTACAACGATAAATGTATTTTAATTTTTTTATTCGGTATATTAGTTGCATTATATTAGAATTATATATTGAAAATGGAGCATTGAAAATTGTGAGTTTAAAAGATACCTACTCACTATAGGTAAATAGATAGATAGCTCGCCTTTTGTACAAATATTTGGTGCAATAAAGAATAAATAAATAAATAAATAGGATGTTTCGCAGAGTGACAGTAATATAGAACGAGAGTCGTGGAGGCAGTTTGCAAACATAAATTGCACAAGGACAAACATCCAGACCCGGAACAATTATTTGTAAGCCTTACAAATACTTGTTCCGTGCGGGATTCGAACCCGCGGCCCCCAGCGCAATAACTGATTGCAAAGCCACTGACCATACGTCTCGTTTTGAACGGGACTGTCCCTTTTCTCAGTCACCTGTCCCATTGTCCCCAAATAAAGCTCCGGGACACAAAATTGTCGCGTAACTCGTAGGATGGAAGTATTCAAAGCCAACAATCTTCAACATATTTTTTTTAATCGAATATATTTTATGTCTACCTGGTACAAATGCTCCAGTAGAAAGAGTATTTTGCTATTTTGAATAAATTGTGGACGTCTGAAAAAAACACTTACGGTTCCAGTTCTAAAGGCGATGTTGCAAAGGTAACAATAAAAAAAAAACTTGCCTAGAATTTTATTCTTATTTAAAATCGTCACCAACTTTATTAAAGCAAATTTAATCCACTGACAAATGTAATTAATAATTAAAAAAAATATGTTGTATCTATACCGAATACAATTTTATAGTAAACACTAATTGCATAAAGTTATAGTTATTAGAGTATAAATAAACCTATGTCCCGTTTTGAGTTAAAAAATATATGGTTAAAAAAATATAGATAGAGAGTCGAGTAATAACCCGCAATGCCGCAAATAGGCCAACTTAGACGAATTAGTCGCCTATAGGCCGACTTACCCGACCGGGCCTTATTAGACGACCATAGACCAAATTAAACGCCCAATTCAAACCAAACCTTACATGCTAATGGTGCTTAATTTTTATATTTTCATTTACTTCAAAGAAAATACACGCAAAAAGCTTCATCGCGCAGTAAAAAACACAATAATTATATGTATAACTAATACGAAAAATTATACCCAAAACAAACAAATAATACTACCTATAAATAACCTAATAAGTAATAATATTATAATATTATCGACTGATGACGTGAGCGTGTGCGCTGGTCGACGCTCTGACTAACGACACGGGTTTCACGTTCAAGAGTTCAGCGCT